CAGAAAATTTGAATAACAAAACGCTAATTAGCATCCGATCATTTTCAAACTTGGAACACCCCAATTTTTCTATCAACCCAAGGCTAAGTGTGGAGATGGAATTTGTTGGATTACTCCTTCTATGTGTCTACTCCTGTAACTTAACAGGCTTGCTGCTGCAGCGGCTTGTCAAAGGGCAGCTAGTGATTTCCTGCTGTTCCGTCGTAGCTTCGGCTCGCTGTTGTGCAGGAGCTTTGATTTCCTTTTGCGCAGGAGTTTCGGATCGCTATGCTGTAGAAGCTACGGCTCTTTGTTTCGATGAATCTCATGCTTTTGCGCAGAAGTATCGGCTCGCTGTTTCGACTCGCTTTTCCGCAGAAGATTCGGGAGCTTTGGCTCGCTGTTCTGCATGAGTTTCGGGTCGCTGTTCCGCAGGAGTTTTGGCTAACTATTCTGCAGGAGTTTCAGATGTTGTATATCAGACACTGTTTGGTAGTGATAAACAGTAGCTTAGCCATTGTAGATGACCTGAATAGCGTAACCCGAACATACCTACAGCAACCTGCCGAAACCCAACTTGTTCCGATCCACCTAAAAGGGCCTAGACATCGGTTATCGAACCTACCCTCAGCGAGCTGCCGAACCCGAACCACCTGCAAAAGCCTATTCATCAGCCCTCGAGCTGCCAAAATGAGTTGCCGAATCCAAACGAGTTCCGGTCCATCTGACTAGACATCGGCCGCCGAACTTTAATTCAGTTCAGATCCTCAATCTGTCTATAACGTTTTCGGCTTGCTTTTCCGCAGGAGTTTCGGCTCGCTGTTCCGCTGGACCTTTGGCTCACCGAAGAAGTTTCAGCTCGATGTTCCATATCAAAGTCAAATATTGGTAGTGGAGTAGAGGTAGTTATAAACCGTAGCCTAGCCATTGTAAACGACCTGATAAGCGTAAGCCGAACATACTCACAGCAAACTGTCGAGTCTCAACGTTTTCCGATCCATATACAAAGGCCTAGACATCGGTTGCCGAACCTACCCGAGTGAGCTGTCGAATCCAAACGAGTCTCTATCCATATGCGATAGCCCATACATCAGATTTTGAGCTGCCACAGTGAGTCGCCGAATTCAAACGAGTTTCGGTCCATCTGGCTACACATCGGCCGCCGAACCTGAATTCAGTTCAGAATCCTAATCTGTCTATGATGAACTGAGCAGCTGAGCAGTATCTCCACAGTTAACTGCTAACGATCATGCGACATGTCCCCGATCCGCCTCCGAAGACCTGCACCTCAACATCCCAACCACGCACACCATAAGCCCCGATCACCTAAAAATCATCAACATGCCGAACGCCGATGTCACAAAGAGCACCAACCTGGTTATCCCTGGTAACATCGTCTGGTAACGTCAACACACCGAACGCAACACCGTATTTCTTCCTACGATCCGATCCTCCGCACAAATCAACTTCCACACCATCAAATTGCCATCAAGCAATTCCCGATCTTCCACATTCGCCTATCTCCGACTCTCAACCACGAGTACCTAATCACTTTTGAATCGTCGGTGTATCACACTTCACTTCTACCACCCGAGTACCGACATGTCCATGAGTCGTTCATTTTCTTGCCTACGAGATACCGTAACGTCGAATTCCCGATCATCAACTAAATCGTCCACTTAATTTCCCGAGCACCTCCGAAGTCCATTCTAGATTCAATATTAATCTTATCGTATTTCAACACGAGTACATTGTAATTTAGTATTAAAAAATCAATAAATCGCCCAGTTTTTACCCCCAGGAAAGGAAGAAAGAAAGTGATTTGGGCTGGAAGCTCACAAAGCCGGATTTTCAGATAATGAAAATGATACCCTTTATATACCTCCAGCGTCTGCCTATTGAAATCAAGATGCAGTCCATATGTTTGACGTAGTGCTGTGAAATTTGGCTTTAGTTATACCCTCCACCTTGGAAAGGAGGGTATATTAACAGCCCTAAATATACGTCGTAGACCCCATGAAGTATATATATTCATAATCAACATAAAATTCCAAGTTGATTTAACGATGTAGATCTGTCTGTCTGTCTGTTGAAATCACGATACAGCCCACTTATTTGACGTAGAGTGTCAAAATTTAGCAGAACAATTTGTATTGTGTCTAGGATGTTTGGTATTGAAAATGAGATATATCGGTCCAACTTTTGGTATAGCCCCCATATAGCGGTACATCCCGATATTCAGTATTTTGATAATTTTTGCCACATTTTTTTGCGGATTTGTCTAAAAATTGGTATTGGTAGGTCATAAGGGTTTCTAGCTCGTATGACGAAACATTGTATGTATAGGTCCACGTCTTGGTATGTCCCCATATAACGGTACCTCCCGATATTCGGTATTTTCATGATTTTTGCCAAATTTTTTCACGGATTTTTCTAAAAATTTGTATTTGTTGGTCATAATAGATTCTAGCCCGGTAGAAGAACATTGAATATTAACAAATAGCTCACATATAACGATACCCACCGATATTCGCTATTTTGATAATCCTAGTCACATTTACGCACATAACTGTTTCAAATTTGGCATTTTAGAAGATTTGATAGAAGACAATCCTTGAAGTATAAAATTGTCCATGGAGGCTCCCGGTTTGGTATGACCCCATCTAACTTTGCTTTTCTACCTTCCTTTTCTTTACTTGCAATATTCTGCACAATTTTACATATATCACACATTTACTTTTACATAGCATTTGTTTTTTTTTTTTCAATCTCTTGTTAGTTGGAAATTCCATCACTGAATCACCAACAACATCATCATTGCCATCATCATCAGTGTATGACCACATCATGCGATATAATTAATTTCCTGAGGTCAACGTTTATGGTTTTGGATTATTTCATTTGGTTTATGATTTTCCAAAGAAATGCAAAATGTTAATCAGTTGAGTTCACGCATATCTTGCCAAATCAATTTCAATTTTATTGAGAATTTCTATCGGTTTCAATTATGACTTATAATTTAAAATTCAATGGGATAAATGGCTATATGAAGTTGAAGACTAATTAATATGTAATGAAAGGACAAATCAATTCAGGTGAATGATTTCAAATAGGAATCAATAAATTTATAGAAAGATTAAATGTTAAACATTTGGGAGAGATTTAATTTTGCAATACAAATTATTCTTCAAAAATTAAAGATAAGGGTTTTTGGCTATTAAAAAAATATTATTTAAAAAATCTAAGTTTTTTGCTTGTGAGGTCCTTGAAAAATATTTTTTAAAAAATCCACGTTTTTTGCTTGTGAGACCCTTGAAAAATATTCTTTAAAAAAACCACGTTGTTTGCTTGGAAAGTTCTTGAAAAATGTTTCTTTATTGCTTGAAGGTCCCTTGAAAAAATTATCCTTAAAAAATCCTCGTTTATTGCTTGAAAGTTCCTTAGGAAAAAAATTTCTTTAAAAAATCTACGTTTATTGCTTGGAAGGTCCTTGAAAATGTTCTTTAAAAAGTCCACGTTTATTGCTTGGAAGAACCTTGAAAAATGTTATTTAAAAAATTCACGTTTATTGCCTGGAAGGTCCTTGAAAAATGTTATTTACAAAATTCACGTTTATTGCCTGGAAGGTCCTTGAAAAATGTTATTTACAAAATCTACGTTTATTGTCTTATTGGGAGGTCCTTGAAAAATGTTATTTTAAAAATTCATGTTTATTGCCTGGAAGGTCCTTCAAAAATGTTATTTTAAAAATTCATGTTTATTGCCTGGAAGGTCCTTCAAAAATGTTATTTTAAAAATCCACGTTTATTGCCTAGAAGGTCCTTGAAAAATGTTATTTAAAAAATCCACGTTTATTGCCTAGAAGGTCCTTGAAAAATGTTCTTTAAATATCCACGTTTATTGCCTGGAATGTCCTTGAAAATATTCTTTAAAAAATCCACGTTTATTGCTTGAAAGGTCCTTTGGAAAAATATTCTTTAAAAAATCCACGTTTATTGCTTGAAAGGTCCTTTGGAAAAATATTCTTTAAAAAATCCACGTTTATTGATCCGTAGGCCCTTTAAAAATATTCTTTAAAAAATCCACGTTTATTGATCCGTAGGCCCTTTAAAAATATTCTTTAAAAAATCCACGTTTATTGCTTAGAAGGTCTTTTAAAAATATTATTTAAAAAAAAATCCAGGTTATATGTCCTTCGTAATTTTTTATAGAAAATCCATGTCTATTGCTTGGATGGTCCTTATAAATATATTCTTTTAAAAAATGTTTGTTGGTCCTTAAAAAAATATTCTTTAAAAAAACCCACGATTGTTGGTCCTTACAAAAATATTCTTTAAAAAAACGTTTGCTGGTCCTTATAAAAAATATTCTTTAAAAAACCCCACGTCTGTTGGTCCTTAAAAAAATATTCTTTAAAAAAACCCACGTTTGTTGGTCCTTAAAAAAAATTCTTTAAAAAAACCCACGTTTTTTGGTCCTTGAAAAAATATTCTTTAAAAAATCCACGTTTGTGGGTCCTTAAAAAAATATTTTTTTAAAAAATTCTCGTTTTGAATTATTCAAAGAAGAAAGTGAATTTAAATATTAAACCTCCCCAAGTCTTATATTCACATTATGCCCCTTCCTCTTAAAAATACCCCGAACTTCTTAAAGCAACAAAAAAAAGGACGGCAATGAGGACATCTTGTTTTCTGTGTCTGTGGTTTTTGCGGATTCGCAATTATTTGCCGCCATATAGCCAATTAATTTCGATTGAAGTTGGAGTTACTTTTTGCTGCAACAACTTTTCTCCATTTGGCCATTCACTCGCATTGGCATTCATACACCCCACCTCAGCAAACACATTCCTACATACATGTATGATAAATAGTGTTGCAACGAGCATGTTGCACACATGTTGTGGCTGTTCATTTGTGTTTCTCTTTTTTTCGTTGCATTTCGTTGCATTTCATTGTAAAATTGTTTTATTCGCATTGTTTTTTAATTCACTCTTCTTCTCTCTCTCTCTCCCTTTTTTCCAGTTAAAACAAAGACTGAGTGAAATTGAAAAATCATTTGCCGAACATGAAATGAAAATCATGTCTGATAATTTACGCCAGGAATACGAAAGACAATTGGTTAATATCCGTCAATTGAAACAATTGTACGAGGAACGACAGCGTGTGGCGGCAGCGGAATATGAAAATTTACAGCGTTTAATATCGATTAAACGCGATGAATTGGGACAGGAACAGGAAAAGTAAGTTAACGGCATTTTTTTAATTTTATATTTTTTTAAGTTTTTATTTTTTTTTTAAAAAGTTTTGCAGCTACAATATATTAATGTGTATCGTCATATATGTATGTTAAAATGTGGCAACATATGACAATGTTTTTCTCTTTTTTGTAGGAAAATAAATTACTTAATGACCTATATATATGCATGTGTGTGTGTGCGTGTGCATTGATAATATATCCCGAGTAGAGAACAAAACCTCAGCCATGATTGATGCAGAGCAATCAACATCATCAAACTAATTAAAACCATGTTTTATTGCCTGTGTCAATCAGTCATAATTTTAAAATTGATGGTAACACACACACACACAGCTCATCCTGCAGGTTATTCAAATGAGGTTAAAAGGATATATATTTGCAAGTCAAACTTCATTAAAAGGAAAAAGGAAGGGCCACTATACCTGTCAAACATAATTAAAAAGTTTTTTAAAAATCTTAACTTGAAAGGGCAAAATTTCCAACCAACACTTAATTTTACAAATTTTTGATTCGAGAAAGCCTTTTTTGAGATACTAGGTGGCCTTGAAATGATTTTTTTGGCAAAATATGATGCTATTTTTAGATATTTCAAAAATTGAACACCAATTAAACATCTGAGTGATTTTGAAAAAAAGGAATCGTTAACAGCATTGAAAACAATATTATTTTATATATTCTGTTGTCTTAGAGTCTAGCTCCCTCAAAGGATCAATGTTTAATGACAAAAAAAAAAAAGTAAAAAGCTATCAGATCGGCCGGGCCAAACTTGGAAATAATTTGGCAATTGTCAAAAAAATTAAACCCGTTAAAAATTCTGTTAAAATCTTAAAAATACCGAATGTAGCTGTTATATTAGGTTCTATACGACGACGTGGACCTGCATCATCAAAATCATCAAAATACCGATTATATATGGAGGTACTATTATATGGGGCTATACTAAAACGTAGATCTGCACAGACAATCTTCTGTCATAGGCTGTAGTATCCATTACGAACTTCAAATACGAAATTTGCAACAATTCCTGTGAATAATGTCGCAAAAATTATCAAAATACCGAATATCTGGAGGTACTGTTAAATCGGTGCTATACTAAAACTATGTAGACAATTCTCTTCCAGGGAATAATATACTGACAAGGAACTCCTTTTGTTGATTTTAGGACAATTCCATTGAAAAATGTGGCCAAAATCATGAAAATACGGAATATCGGGATGGGGATATACAATATAGAGACAATTCTTTTTCAGGGGGTAAAGTACTCACAAAGAACTCCTCGTGTAGAATTTGTGACTAAAATCAACAAAACATCGAATATTGGGAGGTATGGTTATAAGGGGGGCTTTACGATATCTTGGTCCGATATGGCCCATCTTCGAACAAAATTTTAGCTTTATATCATAATTCGTTTTGACTCTAACGTGATTACAATAGATGGGCGGACAGGGCTAAATCTTCTTAAAATTTTACGCTGATCAAGGATATAAAAGGTGAGATAAAAAAACTGCAACAAAGTCCAACGCCATAATTTTGACATTTTATTTTAAATTTTATTGAATGAAAGCAAAAAATGTCAGAAATAGCATCAAATTTTAGAATATGTTTAGATTTGTTCGAATTGGTCAACTTTGGCACGAATTATGACCTTCAAACGGCTAACGAAACCGTCAAACCCTGCCCGAATGCTGATCTGAATTTTGGTCTGGTATTTTGGCCCATTTCCGGCGAAGCGCTTGCTTGAGGTGATCGACACTTTGGTATTTTTTAGTGCCAACCTTGCCTTCTAAAATACTCCAGACACAATATTCCAACGGATTGGTATCCGGAGTTTTTGATGGCTATTGGAGGAGGATGGTTGGAATGGTTGGAATGCCCAATGTCTGCGGCCAAAATGTTTACGTGCCCAAGGCCTAAATACACCCTCCAGAATATTTTCGCGATAATATTCGGCATCTATTCTGATGTCACGGTCGATTAATACAAGCGGAGAGCGACCATCGGCTGTTATGGCGGCCCACACCATCACTATGGCCGGCGCTTGAGTTCTGGTGGCCAACCGAAGGTGCACATTTTCAGCTGACCTCTTTGGCAGTAAACACGATCATTTTGTTTGTTCGTTAACTGCTGGACAAGGAACGTTTTCTCATTGGAGAAGACCAAATTTGGCAGTTCACCACTTTCGGCCAAGCGAAGCAACTCTTTAGTTCTTTTGAGTCTATTTTCTATCTGTTGCGGTGTAAATTCTTGCACTTCTTGGAATTTCAATGGCTTTACCCCGAGCTCATTTTTCAATATTTGCCGAATGGAATATTGCGATATGTTCAGCTCACTAGCCATTTTTCGACCATTGCGACGCGGGTTTCGATCAAGTCGCTTCTTTACTTTTCGAATCATTTGTGCTGATGTTGCTGTTTTCTTCCGTCCACTTCCTTGGCGCCGGACTACGTTACCAGTATCACGGTAACGAGCGATGGTAAGAGACACAAAAGATTTATTCACATTTAAATGCTGGAGTGCTCTAACGATAGTCACTTGTGGTTTTCCGATATTTCCAAATATAAAGAAATCACACTATCACGCTTGAACTTCATCACGAATATTTTTTTTGCTGGAAAATTCTCACCAAAATACTTTTGTATGCTTGTAAACAATTTAATGAGCTGTGACTGGAATAATTTTAAAAGCTGTCGGACGAGTGGCTTAGCATTGACAGCAGTCTGAAGTTGGTTGCAGTTTTTTAATCTCACCCTATACAATATTTCGTCACAGATTGAATTCCCCATTACGAACTAAAGAGACGAAATTGAACAATGTCGCAAAAATCATGAAAATATCGAATATCTGGAGGCACTGTTATATGGTTGGTATACTAAAATGTTGACCAATGTACACAATTATCTTCTAGGGCGTAAAGTTCTCACAAGAAACTCCCTTTGTGCATTTGAAGGCAATTCGGCTGAAATCATCAAAATACCGAATATTGGGAGGTAAAGTTACATGGGAGATATACGATATCGGGGATATGGGATAAATTTTGGCAGAGACTATTAAATTTAGCCTAGAATCAAGTTTGTTAAATTTCGGATATTTCCGGTAAAAGATATTGGGTACATCCAAAAAAATACCTTTCCAAGTTTCAGTTTCAGGCTTGGACATGCCTCCTTTATATATTTCCCTCTAATTTAAATTAGTATATTTATGTATTCTGAAAGTCATGACATGCGCTCCGTAGCAACGATATTTGGTTTGAGAGGTCATAATTTTGAAGTCGATTAAGTTATAACTTTTATGGGTTAGTTTTAACCGCTAAACCTTACATCGCTCTAAAGCCTTAATATGTAATTAATGCCAAAATTCCCAATATGAACGTTTATTTGCTACACGTGGCTCTAGTAAATATTTGTAGTGGTGTTGGGTATCATAAAGACGGCACCGCCCGACTTTTGTCTTTCCTTACTGATTTTTGAAGTATAAGCCTTTTCATAAAAAGCCGGTTAAAGCTATTTTATCTGTATACGACCAGTTAGCGGTCTTCTCTGCAATAGGCCTAGTATTATTATAATTTAAATATGATTTTTTTCAAAACACGTGCAAACTTCTACATTTCCATCAGCTTACGTCTTCACCACAATGACACCTCCCACAACGTCAATCATTCATATATAATTTTCTCAAAACGATTTTTTTCGCCGCCACTAGCCAGACTAACTAATTTCATCTCTCCCCAGCTTTTTCAAATTTTCCTCATTTTCTAAAAAAAAGTTGAACCGAAACACATCTGGCACTATTTGGAGAAATAATAGACTTTAATAATAACAAATTTTGGATGGGCTATTCCGATGTGTATGCCCCCAACAACAACAATAACTATGTTCATTGTTTAAACAAAATGGAAAACTAAAATACCAACAAAACATTTTTTTGTTACTCATTTGCTGTTGTTGGCTTTCAGTGTAGTTAGATGGTGTGCTGGGCGGGAGGTACTGTGTTGACTAGTCAGCATGTGTTTAGTTTGAAAAAATAAACAGAAAAACGTTTCATCATTCGATTTTAAACTTAAACAATTCATGCAGCCAACATTTTCAAAAATGTTTGTATTCTGTTTCGAATGTAAGTTTTATTTTTAGGCATGAAAAAACATGTCCATATTCCGAAGAAGTAGAATTTTTGCTTTTGAGTTTTTTTGTTCGCCGGAAATCAAGACACACATATATTTTTTTGAAAAAATGAGTATTTGTTTAATTTATTTACTTAAAACTAAATTAATATGGTATATTAAAGCACATGAAATTATTTCTTAAAATATATGGGTTAAAATCATACGTAAGCGTTCTTTTATTGACTATTTTCAAACACAATGTTCGAAAATTGAAATTTGTCCGGAATAAAAAATGGGATAATTAATGGACATATATGGAAGCAGTATAGGATAGTAATGAGGGAGTGTCTAGCTAAGTTATCAACGAAACCCATTAATTCTAAATCGTTTATATAAAGACATTTCAATTTTTTTTTTTTGGTATATGGAGAACATACTTTTGTCAATTTTATCCGAAAACGGGAAAACATTTCCTATTTTGTTTAAACGATTTTTCTTTGGCCTTTTTTCGATTTGATGCATAAAATTCACACAAAACTTCGCTTGAGACAAAAAGTATCAAAAGAGAAAATATTTTACAACAAATTTCACTATAAGTCCTAGAATAAACTATATATCATGGTATAATAGTTTTCAAGAAAATTATATTCGAAAATTATATGTTCAAGTTCGAAATTATCTTTGTCTACATTTTTATACCCGCAACCATATGGCAAGAGAGGGTACATATCATTTGATACGGCCAAAACGTGCCTCATCGAAATAACGGTTTTAGACCCTAGGTCTCTTTGGACCAGGACATTTGGAGTCGATCTAGCGATGTCCGTCCGTCTGTGTGGCTAGTGTGCACGCCAACACTCGAAGGGAGTATTCGATTTGATCCA